GAAACCACTTGACGTTTAAGTGGTCGGATATTTATGAATACAATTTATTTCGTTTTCAGGTGTTTAAGTTTCAAAAAATACACTTAAATGCACTTAAAAAGTATTTGCACACAATTACTATACTTATAGTGGGTTTATAAGTTTGTAAAATGCATTGAAAAACGAGTATCTATTCCTATTATTTTTTTAAATATTTTTTTTTAATCATTTTTTTGATTTTTCTATAATCTAAGAATGTTAAAATCACACCAAGTATCAAAGCCATTAATAAAAATTTATAATGTACCTATACCTACCTATTTTTATAAATATAAGTATTAATAATTGGAAGTAACAGCAACTAAAACCAAGTTCTAAGTAAAATTACACTTCTGAGTAAAATTTAAAAATAAAATTAGTACAGTGAATCAAATCTATTTAGTTTATAATTATCTAAAAATAATCTATGTAAAACTACCTACATGCATTTACTTATGTAATGGTTCATTAAAATTACAACTTCGCAAATGTAAAATTAGGAAGAAAACTATTATTAGAGCCAGCATTTGGTTGAAATACATTCAGGTTGATTACCAAGTTCTACATTTATTTTTAAAGAGATTGAAAAATTTAATTTTTTTAAACACGTTTTTATTCAATATGCTTTTGATGATTGATAAATAGAAAAATTAGATAGAGAGCCGAGTTTGGTGGTGTTCTGTGATAAATATTTGTAGTACCTGGGCGTCCCAATTTAGCTGCTTTAATGCCTCCTCCTCTCTGTCTTTCATTCAATATCACGTTACCTTTTGTATATTTAAAAAGAAAAACAAACTCGGTTGAACGGAACAAAAAGAAAAACTACCATGTAAACATTAGTCTAAAACGTGTCGGATATTATTTACATTGGCATGAGCCAGTTTAAACAAAGCCGGGAAAATCAACAGAAAAAGTGAAAACTAAATAAACAAACGCTCGAAGAGAGTTCGGTGGATCTTTTGACATTCAAATTACCTCCGAAAATTTGCTTCGATTGCACGGAAAATTTTCGAAATGTCAAACACCTGCTGTAAATATTTTCCCTGAAATTCTACTTTACTCAGCGATTAACGACTTGTATTAATGTATAACGTTAAAAGCTTTTTTATGTCGGAGTGGGAGGGTGAGTGTAAAGCGAGAAAAATTCATCGAGACAAAGTTAGCAAATTAATAGTGGACTAATTATTTAAATTATTTAAAAAAGGAACCGTTATGCGGGTCGTAAAAATGTCTCAGAAAAACTTGTGACAAATTGTGTTTAAACTAAAAATTTACGCAAGGAAGTGGATTCTGCATAACAAAGACGTCCTAATTTCTGTATTTTGGTTTGAATTTTAAAAAGTAAACAAAAATCTAACACCTGCAGAGGAATTTTCACTGTTTGAGTTATTTTATCCAAATCTTGAACTCACCATATTTACCGCAAAATTTTAATTCTAAAAGACATCTTAGTTATGGTAGTATTAAATTTATAGTTAAAATTTTGACTACTTTCATATTAGATCAATTTTTTAACTAGGTAATTTTTATGTAGGTACATCAACTAAAAGCGTAAAAGATTTAGGTATACCTACCTACCTAACTCTTAATGGCTAAATAATAATCCTATATTTTTTGAATTAAATGTAAATTTCATTTTGTTTTTAATAATTTAATAACTAGTCGATTTACAAAAAGTTAATTAAAATTTAATTCAAAATTGACTTAATTTGATTTTTTTTAGAAAAGTTTACTACCTACATAGTTGATGGGTAGATTGTATAGAGGCAAGGTGGATTGCGCTCAGTTGTCAAAACAGGTATAATCAGGCTAATAAGGGTCGCTAATCCTTAAGGTGAACTGCGCTCAGTAGCATCACATCAGAGTACCTACCCAGTCATGAGTTGGTACTTCGAACTTTTAGAAAACAATTTTTCGGGTGCAATTTTGAATGACCTATTGCCGCCAGCACTTGATATTATTCTCTGGGATGCGAGTTCTGAAAGACTCTGTATTAAAAGGTAGAGGAGAGGGGGGCAGTTTAGAACAAAATTTACTTTTTATCTAGAAAGGCCTTTTAAATATTAGTTTACGAAGCGCTTACCTGCAGTGAATTATAGTTTGATATGTTGCGCAATGTTTGTAATACCAGTGGAAACCACAAAGTCATTTTGAATATTAGAAAAAAAATTAGGAAAACTTCTCTGCAACTGTTCTAAACTGCCCCAAGACGGGGGCAGTTTAGAACAGGCACGGGGCTCTTTTGAACCAGCTTTATATAACTTGAAAAATTAAAGATACATGTAAAAAAACAAATTTATTGTATTATAAATGTGAAAATACAAATAAAAAACTCATTTCTATAGCAACATTATCAAAAAATATATTAAAAATATTACAAATTTTAAGCTTTGAAAGAAAAACACAAAAATTAAAAAGACTTTTACAATTTAAATTAGTGTTCAAGCATGCAACATATAACACATTTAAGATTTTGCGCTGTACTTTACACCAGCACATTGTCAATGTGCCCACTTCTTTTTTCTTCTGCCTATGCCTTAGAAAGTGAGAACAGTCCACTGCAAAATATGCAAGCGGCATCATTGCTATAATCTTTTCTTTGTCGTTTCGATTTTGATTTATAAATTTCACTTTTATCCGAAAAGTTTTCAGTGTCGGTTGAATCATCATAAATCACTTTGATGTCTCCGGGGGTCTCACTTTCTTCATCAAAACTTTCATTTTTCTTATATTTTTTGAATTAACCTTTTTTTACTTTTTTTTTCCTTGGCTCTAACTTCCTTTTGTCTGCTAGTTTTTGTTTCTCTTCTCTAGCAAGTGTTTCCTGCTGTTTCGAACTGTTTAAAACTGCCCCAAACGCCTATGTTCAAAAGTGCCCGTCGGTGCAAATTTTCCAAGAAGAGCTAAAATTTTTCATATAATCGATGATAATTGAAAATTAACTGATGCAAACAATACACAAAGCACCAAAGTCCCAACCAAGTAAGTAGATAACGTTTTTCAGAATAAAATAGATGCATTAGGAACTTACCCGCCGAGCACTAAAAATTTACTTTTAGCACGTTGAAAAGACATGACCTAACATACAATAACTGGTGGAGGGCTGATTACAACCCCCGCCAAAACCAACATTCGTACATAAAAGTTTGCTAATTGCTCAAAAGCTAGCGCCCTTAAGATTAAATGGAAAGAAGTTACGTCAACTGTTCTAAAGTACCCCGTGTTCAAAACTGCCCCCCTCTCCCCTATGTCTTAATTAAAAGAAAATATTGAAAACAAAGCAAATAGATCGATCTACTTTTGTGAAATGTCTATGTTATAAGTTTAATCAAAATTTTTAAAACACTATTATGTAATATGCCTATACATAATTGTGTTCAGCAAATCTAAATAATAACCTATTTCGTTTTTATTCACTTTGAAACTCAAAGTACATTTTTGCAACTGGTTTATCCCTATCCTTTATATCACGCAAGACATATTGTCCCACCTAAGCGCAGTTCACATCGGAATTAACGCAACGCAGGTAACTAAAAATCTTCTGAGCGCAGTCCACTGTAGGGATTAAAATGCAGTGCTTGAAGCGAGCGCAATTCACCGACACCTATTTAAAAAAGTATACTTACTTATTAGGTGGGTGTAGTCTATGTATCGAGGGATCAAGATAATTTATAATCGAGTCATTCTTGGATCCGAAAACGTATGTCTGTGAAATATCAAATCAAATGACAAGTTAAAAGGTAAAATAGTATGAACAAAAATTTATGATTTTAATAACTAAATTTATGCTTTACTGTACATGTCGGCGACTAATTCCGGTCCATTTTGCCGTTTTACCTTTTGAGTTGTCAGTTTATTTGACGTTTCTCGTGCAATTACTTCAAAAACAGACATACGTTTTTGGATTCAAAGAATCCAAATTATTGTTACAAATTATTTTGATCTCTCAATACATATTATTATACGAGTATGATTATTGATTTTTCGTTAATATATATTTTTTTTAATTTTGGACTCGGCTAACAATTTAAGTGGTATTAATTTGCCACATTTTATTATTTTATTTACATATGTTGTACGTTACCTAATAATAATTACAATAGACAACTTTATTTTCGAAATATAGGTACGAGTATTTTGAACAATTGGAAATTTTTGTTGTGGAATAAGTATTTTCAGGTATATCTAACTGTAGATATACCTGACAAAATATCTATATAATATTTTCTTTTAATTTTAGCCAAAACACAACAATTATTGACTTTGCTATTGGCTATTGTTATTATTGTTAAAGGAAATTACTAGAAAATTACTATCTAATTAAGTATTTACAAGTATGTATTTGTTTCAGCCAAATTTATACACAACATACCTGGTCTGCAAGTTTATAACTATTGCAAATATGTCGAAATATCACATTTTTTGTTTATAACAATTTAATTTTACTTAGTATGTTTGTTAAATAAGTAGCTACATCATTTTTTTTATAAAGAATAAATTAAAATGTAGTTACACTAATATTATTTTGGTGGATAGGTATAACTACATATTTTGAAATAAAATTACAAACAAGTTCTACAAGTAATTTTACTAGAATATTTTGGGGTGTACCAACTAATCCACCTTTCACCCATTCAAAACCCATTTAACAGGTGCTTTTCTCACATTACCAAATTAAATTTTTTAATGATTTCAAAAATACCCTCTATCAATGGCATCTCCAAGCCTAAAACCCTATAAAAATTCTCTCGTAATGGCCGTAGAGCACCTGAAAAGAGAAACGACTATTTCTATGCACCGAGTGCGAGCAAAACAGAGTTATGAAAGAAAGCGCATGCCCTGCAAAGTCGCCAGCATTTGCTTGCAGGATCCAGAATAGATTAGTAATGTCTTCTGTGGCGGAGGCGCAGGCGCCTTTGAGTCGACGTGTGAAGGCTTCTTGGCGGGCGTAACCACTCTCGAACTTCGGCTGATACCATGAATCCGAAACCTGCATAACAAGTGTACTGTGTGTGATAATAGTTTGAAGTAATAGTGAAAATAAAAATTTTATTAAACGTTTTATGGATTCTATTTTTGACGGCTACACAATAGATCGCAGAGTCGGCGCGAGTTATTGCTAGTGTAAGTGTTAATGTATTTATTTATTAGTTCTTTAAATTGATGATACTTTAAATGATTTGTTTCAAATTGGGTGAGAGTTGCGGAGACGTCAATATTTTTTTGATTATTAGTTTTGCGTTTTTTATTATTAGTCAGATTTATTTGAACTACAAATTAATACGTTAAGAAAATATAGATACGCCCACTTGCGTTGATGCAGCATGCTTTAGTTAAGAATTTCTTGTGAATATTTTTCTTACACGTGAACACAAAACAGCGATAGATATTTTACAATTAGATATCATCACAAATGAAAAGTCAATAACAGTTAGATACCTAATTAATAATTTTAATATATTTGTGTACAGAATGTTTTCTTTAAGTACCTACATTTATTATTATGTTTCTAACAATTATTACAATTTGCTACAATATGTCTTGAAGACTTGAAAATTCCGGAAGTTTGTAGAAGTTATCGACGGAAAAATGAGAGCTTTTTTATGACAAAAAATAATCTGGGTTTATAAATCAAAATATTTTTTATTTAATTAACTTTTTGCCTTTCTGTTCCATTTAATAAGAACTCAAGACAAGTAGAAAACGGTAATTAGACGAACCAAAAAAAGTGCCTTTTTTCATTTGGAAGATTAAAAAAGATTACTTACCTACTTATTAAAAATCGATTGAAATATGGTAGCACCAAACCAAATAATAGTTTTCTGAATCAAAAATAGCTTTGTCATTCGATGCCTATTCGCAATTCAATCTTTGCGAGCTCTCGCTTGCAATTTCCTTTTAATTCCTGCTTCACTTTACTGCCGAAGGATACAAGAAGTATCACTATAAAATCCAGTTCTTATAAATGGCACCATAAATGTGAAATATATTTATTAGGTGCCAACCTCCAGTCTTGTAACCCTATCTCGGTATCACGGGAAATCACTGAGATATTTCTTGTCAGAATAAATCATTGTTATAGAATTAATCAGACATTTGTTTATGTTTCGCGCATTTCGAATCGACTTATAAGTCATCGTAAAAGTTAACTGACCGCAAAATGATCATTTCGCAAAGGAAACATTTTTGTATTTAATTATTCTAAAGCTTTACAAATTTATTTTATGCTTTATTAAAATAATAACGGGCTTTCGAACGTATCTAATCTTGAGTTCCGGAAACTTTATTGCTTTTATGTCGCGAGGAATTTATCAGTTTGCTCACGAGTATTTGCTAATTAAAGAAAAATGTGTCATTCGGGAAATTAAATTTTTTTAGTGTTGATCAGATTGTCGAATTTATACCTCTTTTAGAGCGACGCCATTTCAAATGCAGGTGTAAAATGTTTTACTCTTTCAAGAATTTTTTTACAGCTCTGAATTTTTCGAATATTAGTATTAACATTGCTTATTAGCTGTGAATAAGTTGCACATCGTATTAAAACTATTTGAGTGAAAAATTTTAAGGTACTAAACATGCAATTAAACGAAAATTAACTTGTTTTAACACCAACAAATATTCTATGGTCCGCCTCACAAGAACAATGTAAAATTTAACTACCTGGCTTGTGTCAACAAAAATTCATTGATTTTAAAATTGTGGAATAATGACGGCTATAAAATGCGCAAATGGAATAATTGTGACAAAGATTGAGAAGGGTTTTAACTAATTGTAACGATGGCATGTTAATTGCACATTTAAACACAAGTATGTGAAAGGCATCTGACACTTCTAATAAATTATGCGCTTAAAATTGCATAGGTATATGGCCACTTAGTAATTATTTAAGTATTCAATAGCTTCCTTTTCGGTATACCTACATCAAACTTGTTAATAGTAAAATTAATTACAACAGCTATAAATACTGTGTTGTCATTCATAAAGTGAATTATTATAATATTTAAGGTGTATAGCTACTTAGAACGCGGCTATTGTATTAAGGCAAAATGTCAGAAGTCATCGCTACTTAATTACTTATAGTCTGTTATGCATTCAAATTTAAACAGCAGGAAAACCTTTCACCACAGCAGTGGTGTACCTAAAGATGTAGGCGAAACTAATTATTTCTGCATCAAAAACAATGGAGAAGAAAAACTATAAAACATAATAGGTATAGAAAAAACCATATGTTACTTTTAAAAATGAAATAGGTAAAAAAATGAAAAAATATTGGAGCAAAGTTTGAAAAATGTATAATTATAATGATTTAATTTAAACAAGAAAAGCATTATACTCGGTATACCCGAATACCAATCTACAAATTTAAAATACTAGACGTTTAAAATACTATAAGTAAGTATAAAATAATTATTTGGTATTCATTTGGAAGCATTAATAAATACTTTATTTTGGTAGGTATAGAGGTTTCGGTTGATTGTCTGCAGAACTTATGTCATTTAACAAACGAAGAACTCTCAAGCAGGTAATTAAAAACAAAAGAAGTTTAAAAACCGATTTTTGTGTAGAGCTCGTTAACGGCACTATTCTATTCTTTGTAAAATATTTTTTAAACTTGATTTATTTATTTTAATCAGATGTATTTTTTTCTAAATTCTGTATTATTCCTTAACATTTAATTTTCAAAAATATCAAACTTTTATTGTAAATCACTTTCAAAATTATTTATTCGTTCCATTTATAGATTAATTCTATTTTCATTACAGTTTTTTTATTTTGATTTTATTTTGTGTGTTTGTTTTATTATGTTTTAAAATAAAGTTAGTAGATGTTTTTGTTTTTTAACTTATTTTATTTTAGTTTTTTAACTTTTTACTGTAACTGCCTTACCTACTTAATGAGATAAATATGAAAAACTGTTTTTTTTTGGTGTTTATACGCATTTTGTAAAATTTATGGATACCTAGGCATAGGTAGGTACTATTAGGTATCTAAAAAACAACTTTATTGTGAAATTAGCAAGCTATTTTTTTAACTGTAAAAAATGTTTATCTAAAAACAAATTCTGCGACAAAAATAGAAAGAATTCAAAACTACGTAACCGTTAGTGATAAAGAAGATACTTGGCATGTGCCCACTTGGTTAAGATAATAAAATAGTGCGTTTTTTTTGAGGACAAAGATAGTTAGAAATATTATTGTTAATTTTTTTTATACGTTGATAAATTATTAACAGTGGTTTTATAAAATACATTTTATTAAGACGGTTATTGACAATTTTTTTAATAGTAAATCTTTGCGTGGTTAAAGTGTCAAAATTCAGAACTTCAGTTTGCTACCAGATTTGGAACAACCTCTAGGTATAATATTTTTTTAAGCTTTAATTTTTATTAAATAAGATGAATATCTAAGTGTGTAGGTACCTATACAGGGTGTTTCACATAATTTTACGAGGCCTGCGCCTGTAAGATGCAATTAATAATACATATTCCGATACGAACTCGATTACAAATTTTGAAAAATTGGATAATCTTCTCTAGTTTGTTCACCCTTTCAAAAATTACCTACAATGTTTTTAGTTAGTTAGTGATTAAGATAGATAAACTACAATCATTCATGATAGAACAAATGATAATTGTTTCTGAAAAGCTGCAGTTTATGACTATTAATGAAAAAGGGATTAGTTTGACAACGCGTACATTAGGCGCAAGCCTCGTAAAGTTATGTAAAACACCCTGTATAAAAAGAATATTTTTGAAACGACTTTAAAAAAGTGGATTAGATAATATTCTCTGTTTGCGTTTCAATTTGTATTTTCTGTCATTATTTTTTCCAAGGGTTATACTCTATTTTCAGTGTGTTTTCGATTAGCTGTAGCGCTTTAAACGTAGTTTTAGCGTCCATTCTGCGTAATAAGATTTGTAATGATCGTGAAACAGTGGAATCTGAATGTTCCAAGTCAATTTCACGGCTTGTGCATCGTCGGAAATAGTTGGTTTTATTACAATAATTCATGTCAGTTAAGTAGCGGCTTGAAAACGGAAACTCACATTTGAATACTGTAACATCAAATATAAACATGCAATAAAACGACTATATCATTGTTTTATGACAGGTATAACAATTAACAGGCCACCAAACGCTAATTATTCTTATTATACCTACCTGTCTGGTCTTCGTCTACCGTTCATCTTGCTAGTAGGTATTTTTATGGAGGCCATTCAGAATTTTTATTTGTTTACAAGTTTATTTAACTTAATTATATTGCCTGCCTATATTAACTATTTACACAGCACGAAAGTAAAAGTACTAAAAACTGACCTATGTCATGCACTAACCGTGTATAAATTATCCCATAAACATTGTTTGTAGCTTTGGTTAGTGACTACTTTAAAACAGAGTAAAATATTAAGATTGTTTGCTTACATGTTTATAAGCTCATTTGTGTATTTAGCTTTATCATTACATCAATCACCAGACAAATAACGACCAACAATAATTGATACTTGAACGCAAAAGAAACAATAAACTCACACTCTTCAATTACCGCGAATCTATTAATCTAATTATCAAACCACCCTTATTTACGATAATTGCCAATCTATGTCTCTTCCCTTCTCTCATAGCGAAAGGCGGAGCGTCAAACTTTGGACCCGGTAATTTTGTAATGGCTTCTGGGACGCGACCAATAGCAATGCGCAACTCTCCCTTCTCCATAGCAACGAGGTTTTGCACCAAGGCGTGGTATTGGTCCGTTCGCCATTAAAGCTCTTAGCAACGCTCGTAAATTTTGACAATGTCATTGGCAGTCGCTCGTAAAATGATGGGTGTTGGAAAGTTCGGATGGTTCTCGCTAGAGGACAGTTTGGTTTGAGGATAAAATAAATACAGAATGCAGAACTCTGTACTTGTTTAGTAGAGAAATCTACAATTGGTTTTAAATAATATAACAGAAGCCAGTTTAATTTAATTGAAATAATATAAATGACTAAATATTTATATTTTTTAACTTTTGATTAGGATAAATATTTGACCTGGTTAAGTTACAACTCTCTCGTTTAGATGTCGCTGTTTTAGTTTTCTATTTTGAGGGTTGTTAGGGGTGGACTTGAAGCTTCTTGAAATATT